TTAGAGTTGGTTGCACAACAATGTGAATACACTTATTGCTGCTGAACTGTACGCCTAAAAATGGTTAAAATGGTAAAGAACATTAGACAAACTCAGAAAAGAAAGAAACAAAGTTTGAACTGGCTTTGCCACACTCTTACCCTTTCTTTGTTCAAGCAGTCCTAGAAATTCCTACTTTTTCCAGAAATGCTTCTCAGATCACCACAACTGCCTGCGTAAACATATGTTTATTGACTTCCTTGTCCCTCTCTTCTATATCAAGGTTATACACTCTATTTACTTATTCAACTTGAGGACAGAATTGAGCTGTTAGCTTCCTTTTTATTGAACAGAATACCTTCCCTCCAAAGATGCATGGATTATGCTGCTAATGACTCTGGCCCTTGCTCTCTACTTTCAAACTTGTTCCTCCTCCATATTCTGCGTTTCTCCCAATTCCTGTAAACACTTTTGCTGAACAGGGCCCAATAGTAATTATATTAGAATTATGTAAGTAATTACAGTAGAACCTTGATAATTGGCTACCTCCCTACATTGACCACTTCCTTAAGTTGACCTAATTTTCATAGAGTGGACATGGCACCACATGTACGTGTATGTATCAGTATAGTAGGCCTAGTTAATATGTTGAGAAGTTTGTTGCAGTTCCTTGGGGGTCAACTTACATAGGTTCTACTATATTTCTGGCTTTGCAGATCATAGGTTCTCTGTGGCCACTACTTAGTAGTAAAGAGAAAGCCAATAGATAATATGTAAATGATGAGCATGATATGTTCCAATAAAACTTTATTTATAAAACCAATGTGTTACAGATTTAACCTACAGGTGGTAGTTTGCTGACCTTGGCTTTGAGGAAAGAAACCTTTCATCCTGCTTCCGTCTCAATCAGCCTCCTGGCCACAATCTTCCTCTTCTATTTCTGGTTCTTATATACTGTGAGGGGACTTACTAACTTTCTAGGAAAGCTAATAAGGGGGAAAAGGATGAAATGAGTTTTTTTTT